TCACACTAACTGGAATGTGCATGTTTCTTGTGATGCTGACTAGAGGCCAGTAGGAAAGGAGGCAGTGGGTGGGACATGGGCATGGCCCAAAGCCTGTCCCTGCAGCTGTCCTTGTTGTGAGGTGAGGTGGCTGAAACCTTTCTGCAATAGAGGCCTGAGATGTGGGGGTGGAGAAGGAGTGTCTGTCCTTAGTAGGGGTCTCCAGACACCCAGATGCACTGGTGGGACAGGCTGGAGGGGAGGAAACGGCAGCGGGGGACTGTTCAGCGAGTTCATGCTGCTTGCCAGTGGCCAGCCTGGGGCAGCTTTTGTTCAAAGCACTCCAGAGTGTGCTCAGGACTCGCTGTTGTGGCCCAGTCAGGTCCGTGTGTCCTCGGAGAAGACTCTGCTCACTCTTGGCATGCTCTGGCACCGGGTTGGGTTACAGTGTGGGTGGTTTTGGTGCCTGGCCTTTGACCAGCGCAGCTTCTAGGACTGTCAGCACGTGAGGCAGCTGAGCTTGGAGTTTGCCCTTCTCAGGTAGTGTCGCAGTGAGTCCGGCTGCATGGATGCCATCTAGTTATGGTAAACTGTGGCCGACTAGGTCCTTGGACCGCTAGTCATGTGTATTCTCAAGTGCTTGGGAGAATCTCTTTTCCCAGATCTCTATTTGTATTTTTGGTTGTTCATAAGGCTCTCATGTCAGTTAATAATAACCACCTTGGTTTTTTAAAATAACTTTTTATTTAAAACAGTTCGACTCACAAGAAGTTGTAAAAAAGTGCATAGAGCGTTCTGTGTCCTTTAGTGGCCCAAGCACCTGTTGGCCTGTGGGAGCATGGGGTGCTGTGCCCTGCAGTGCCAGGCGCTCTCCCCTCACTCACTTGCTCATTCCTTATTCTGTTGCGGGAACCCAGTGCCACGTCCTGTTAGTCCTTCTAATTTTCAAATGGGAACGAGCCCTCTCCGAGTCCAAGTGAATAAACACACAGTGGATACTGCTGATGCGCAAACCCCTTCACCTGGGAGCTGCCTTGAGTGTTGTGAGTGGCTCACAGCCAGGTAGAGCCACCTCACCCGGAAATGCCAAGAAGAATCTTCACTCCCGTGGCCGCTTGCTCTGGGTGGGGCAGCCCTGTGGTGCTGCTCGTGCTGCAGAGCTCCCGAGACCAGGTTGGGGCTGGGTTCTTCTCGAGCTCTGCTTGGGTACCTGGCGTGTTTTTAAGCTGGTTTCTTCCCCTTGTGGCAGGTCATAGGTAGAGGCCTGTGTGTAACTTCTCAGACAGCAGCAGGACTTGGGGGGGCCCTGGTGGCTTTCTCCAGCATCCCTGGGCTCTGGGACCCGAAGCCCTTGAAGTGTGACCTCTAGCTGGCAATTCCTGGTAGCCACCAACAGCTTGTTCAGACACCCAAGTTGAGACGGTTCCTAGCCTGGCCGGGAGGTTTTCACACAGAAGACTTTGTAAACTTGCCTCATCGCTGAGGCAGTGGTGGAGCATCCTGCTCTTGCCCACACAGGACCAGGCCAGGGCCCAGGGGACACATGTGACCTGACCAGACTCAGCAGTGTTGTCTCTGCAGGCCTGGCCAGAGGTTCACTGGTGGGGCTGCTGGAGGGGAGGGGCCCAGCCCTGGGACCTCGACTTGGAGGGTGGCCCAGGACCCCAGACTGTGCATTTATTTTAGGACGATGTCCACAGGGCGGGACTCAAAGCTGCCAGATGCATTCTTTGCCCAGCACGAAGCCTTTCTCTTTTCTTTTGCACGTAGGTCCGCCAGGCGGTGACCTCGGTGGTGGGGGGCTGGCTGCTGGAGCTGCGGGACCGCTACTCCTTCTTTCACAAGCTCATCCCCTTGTTGCTGAGCAGCTTTGAGGACGAGATGCCTGGCATCAGGTGAGTGGCCGAGGTTCTGCCTGGGTCCACGGCCCTTTGTGCTCAGAGGCCTGGAGTCTGTGACTGGTTACACCCTGCGGGCTCTGGGCAGCAGCGGTTTATCGGGGACTTGTTTCCCTAAATTGTCATTTGTAACAGTGGTTATTTCTCTTCACTCAGAATCTGTCACAGATTCCTGGCCTTGTCCCTCCGTCTGTGTGTTACAAGATTGTGGCCACACAAAAGATCTCTGTGATTTTTAAAATATTATTTTGTATCTTTTTAATACTTTGCTCGGGCCCGTGGAGAGGAATCAAGTAGTCACCTTTTAGTGCTGTTAGGAAAGTGACGAACAGAATTTCTGGTCTCCTCGGGAACAGGAGAAGCACCCCACACATGCACCCAGTAGAGTATGCTGACGCGACCCCACACCCTGGCTCAGTGAGGAGCGGTTCGCTGGGTCCCCCACATCTGCAGGGGCTCCCACAGCTCTTCCCACAGTGAGCCGGCTGCACTGCAGGTTGCGTCTGTCTGCTGCAGGGAGCTGGCCGCCAGCCTCTGGGAGAAGGTCGGCCTGCAATGGCAGCGGGAGAACGAGGACGACCTGAAGGACAAGCTGGACTTCGCCTCGCCGCCCCCAGCCCATTACCCTCTGCGTGGTAAGTGCCGCCTGAAGGGGAAGGAAGGGCTGGGAGGTGGCCCCTGTGCAAGCGGGAAAGGTGTTCCTGGGCCCTGAGGGAAGCTTCAGTGCCTGCAGTTCTGTCTGTCCAGGCAGCTGCTCATCAGTCAGGCAGCGGGTGTCCCTTGTGCCCCTGCTGGGCTGGCAGTCTGCCTGCCTGCAGGAGCCAGTGCTGCTCCATGCCCTGGGCAGGCAGCACGCCTGTGTCCTCAGCGTCCTCCTGGTGGTCTCCTCCCTCTTCGGGACTTTATTTTGAAGAGGCGAATGGGCTTCCGGAAGCATCCAGATACACCCCTGGAAGGCCTGCCTTGTCCCCTTCAGAGTGCCTGCAAGGATGTGCTAAGCTGGAGTCCTAGGCGGCTCCGCCATGGTGGTGGAAGTTTCGAAAACAGGCACGATGAGGGTGCTTGTGATTTTACCAAAAAAGAGCTAAGCACGTAGGTCACAAATGAGACAGAACCTTTTATTTCCATATAATTTCCACACTTGGATCAGGGTCTCCCGGAGCGCAGCCTCCCTGTCCAGTTTGCTTCCTGGCCGGGCCGGGCAACACTCACCCTCGTTAGTGAGTCTGCAGGAGGCTCTTCACTTGTGCTATCAAGTGCTTTTATCACGTCCGTCTGTCTGCAGGGTGTTTTCTTAAAACTGAATAATAGATACACGCTGACAAGGACAAGAAGTAGATAAAAATGCAACCGGATCATATACCCGTGAGAGACTTAACTGTTTCAAAACCTCCGACATCACCTCTCTAGGGGCAGGTCTTTGTGCCAGTGGGGACTGTCGTGAGCTGTGACGTGTGGCACTAACGCAGCCTCCCGAGTCCTGTGTCTGGTGTGATGTTGAGTTTGTGGCCACAGAGCTCCTGCTCCCCTCAGCCTGTGAAGCAGGCGCTTCTTTCCCATCTCTGCTCTCGCAGCCTCCACGCTGTGAAGTTGGGTGAGGGAAAGCACACAGACTTTAGAGAAGGTATAAAAATGAGTTGCTAGCAAGATTTACTCTGATTGAGTAAAGTCAGTTTGAGAACACACCATCTTTTTAAAAACGTGGAACTTAGACGTAAAGATTGCATATGAATTTGTTTTTAAACGTGCCCTCTGTACCTGCGATGGAGGCAGAATTCCCCGGAATTTCCACGTCCTGTCTGTGCTGTCTTCTGTCAGCCGCCTGGGGTTAACTAGAAACCAGGCTGTGTCGTGTGTGTTTTTGGCAGATTCCACCTGGGTTTTGATCATTGATTAGGTGATAATTCTCTTTAGACGTGAGGTCTAGTGTGTCTGCCTAACAAGTTCTATGCAGGACCTGAGCTGCATGTCAGATGGTTCTTACACACTCACTGTCGTTCACCCCACACACAGCAGAAAGTTCATCAAGTATCGATGGAGCAGAAAGGGTTGTCCTTGCGATGTAGGAAAATTCTTGCCCTCACCAGCAGGCATTGGGTCACCTAACTGATCCTGCTGTAGAGGGAGGAGGGGGCGGGAGACGGGGACTGTTTTGGAAGATACAATCCTTGGGGTGTGCTAAATGAGCAGGCAGAGCGAGGCTGTGGCTGACACACGCTCCCTGCCTGCCCTGCTGTGCAGGGGCTGTGTCTGTCGGGGATGGGGGGGGAAATGGGGGGCTGGGCTGGCGGTGGGGAAGACGAGTGCTTCGGGTGCTGCCTGACTTAGAAATAGATGTTTCTGGCATAATATAAAAAACTAGTTAGTATTCGTTCCGAGGCTTGGAGAATGTTATACACAGAATTGTTGTTTCAATCAGAGCAGGATAAATGTAGAATTGAATCACAACCAGAGTCAGTGGCATAATCACCAGATTTTATTAGATTTTTGGCATTTTCCTCTAAAATTACTTTTCTTCAGTTTATAGTTTGAATTTTAAATAGAATTTTTCAGTTTTTTTTACAATGTTTCAAATGTCAGATAGTGTCAGTCTCTTCCCTAAAACCTCACCCCACCCACACCCTCCCCACGCCCCTTACCTGGGGTCTGTGACGTCCCTTTCCCCAGGTGGCCGCACCCCACGCCCCCCAGACTTGACGAGCACTACCTCTGCCGTGCAGACGTGGGGCACATCCATCCCCCAGAACTTCCCTCCAGCACTGGCCCCCGCCGCTCTGCCTTCCGTCCCTCTAGTTCCCTTCCAGGGACATCGCGTGAAGGAAATTGTACTGAATGTAGCCTTTACATCAGCAAGATACACTGGAGGTTCGTTTTGCGGTGGTGGTGGCAGCCACGGCACCTTCGTCTCTAGTGTGAGTAGTGTTCCGTCTCTCAGAGGGACTGTAGTTGATCTAGTCACCAGCCAGAGGACATTCGGATGGTTTCTAGTTTGGGGTGATTACCAATAAAGCTGACATAAGTATTTATATATAGGTTTTTGTGTGTATTTATGTTTTTATTCTCTTGGACGAGTACTTGGGAGTGGGATTGCTGGGTCACATGGTAGCTCTTTAACTCGCTGCACTGCGCTGTTCCTCAGACACCCTGCGTCCCTTTGCATTCCCAACAGCGCAGAGAGATTTCCAGTTGCCATGCGTTCTGGCCAGCAACTAGCATGGTGGGGGACGGTGGTTTTTAGCCTTTCTGATTGGTGCGTAGTAGATTTAATTTGCAATTCCCTGATGACAGCTGGTACTGAAATCTTTTCATATATTCATTTCATGTGCCTGTCCCTTTGTCTTTGGTTGTGTTGGTTCAGAGCTTTTGCCTGTTGGGTTCTTTGTTTTCATGTCATGGAGCTCCGAGAGTTCTTCATGTGCTCTGGAGGCAGGCCTGGGTCCAGTCTGTGCTTTGCAGTCTGGTGGACAGGTAAGCCAGGCACAGAGCGGCTCCCTGAGAGGTGAGGGAGTGAGCGGGTGATGTGCCTCTTGCCTGCAAGAACAGACAGTGTGATCGTGTGGTTGGATCGCAGAGAGTGTGAATGAACAGAATTGGATGACGTTTATAGATCACTGCTAATACACACTGTGCGCAGGTGTAGTGACCTATGAAATAAAGAATGCAGGTAGGCTAGACCTGCATCAGAAGTTTAACCAGAGCCCAACTTTCCTCTTTTTCCTAAGAAAATAAGGTGTGCATTGCATAGAAACATAATTGACAGACATAGTTTCTCATTAGCTTTACAGACATGACATGAGTTTCCTGTTACAATACTGAAAAAAATCTCCACTTTAAAAACCAAGCTCCATGTTAGGAAGATTGAAAGGGCTTCATTTGTCGACTTCAAGTCAGTTATTTACCTGAACAAAGCGCCCTTCTCTCGCAGAAGCACAAGTTCACGCTTGACATGCATCTGACTGTTGAGCTGCAAACTGCCAGCAACAGATTGCCTGGTGACAGTGGGTTCCGGAGTCCTTTCCACTTTGAAATTATCTCTCTCCTAAGATTGTTTTCCTTGGCAACGCCTGAGTGCAAAGGAAGCGCCTCTTCGTAATGGTGAATGGCTTGCCAGATCTTTTAACACAGGAGAATAGAGTTGGCTTTTTAAAAATCTATTTTAGAAATAAGTAGAGTTCCCTGGAATACATATCATTGTAATGCAGATTAACTTCCACATAAAGCCTTCTGTGTTTCCACGTTCTGCCTGAGCGCTCATACCTGTTCCACTTTGCTTGTGGTTTCTCTCACATGTTTAGAAAGATGTGACACTTGAGTGGAAGTTGTCAGAAATGTTCAATTGTGTGGAGAATAAAAGGAGAAACAGGCTAGAAAACCTAGTTTGTGTTGTTTGGAATCAGCAAGATCCCACTGCATGGAGATGACCCACTCCAAGTTAGCTTCCCATGTTGAGGAAGAAGGACTCTTCGTAGCTGGGAAGACAAGAAGAGCCTCCATCATTTAGAGGGTGCAGGGAATACCTCATTTAACACTGAAATGAATGTCGTTGTCCTCATATAAATGAGGAGCTGAGGACTGAGAGGCTCAGTGGCTGGCCCACAGTCGTTGGGTTGGTGTCCGCACCTGGGTTGACCCCACCCTGCTGGCCTCACCCTCTCCATCGGGTCTCTGTTTTCTCCAGTCACTTCCCTGGACACCTCAGAACCTGCCGCAGGACACCAGTGTCACTGCTGCCTGTTCTTGGTTTGTAAACATGGCAGAGGGGCAACCTGCCATCAGACTTGGATAAACAAATTAAGAAATCAATGAACTGTTGTTCTGCCTGCAATTAAATTACACTTAGTCTAATTGTGCAAAAAATAAGGTGATTTAATGTTCCATCTGCTTCTGACCCAACTTTCTACTGACTGCTCCTTGATCTGAGAGGCAGGGAGAGTTGTGTTTAACACACAAGCAGGGCAGGAGAGCCCTGACCTCCGCTTCCAGAGCAGGTCTCCTGCAGAGCTCCCGGGGCTGCCTCCCCCAGCAGTACTTGGTGGCAGATTTGGGGTGCTCAGCACCAACTTAGTGCCTGAGCAGATGTGTAATGAAGCCGCTTATCAGAAGTGACTTTGGGGTTGGAAGGAAGCTGTGTGGTGGCGATAGCATGAGGTGTAGACACAGGTGGGCCACAGCACTTGGAGTACCTAGTGGGTCCCCAGGTACCCACACTACGGTGGGAAGCAGAAATGTGCATTCAGAACACCATGCGTGCCAGTGTCTCCTGTCAGTGCGAGCGTAAGGAGGGCAGGTCCTTGTCTGCCTCTGACGGCAGAGGAAGAGGGGCTGCAAAGGATTGCGGCTGCCAAAGGCCACGGATGCTTCTTGGACCACAAGCCCTCAGAGCCTGTCCCATCACCCTAATTGGACGTTCTGTGTGGTGAATGCCCAAGCACTTTGCCTGTGTGACAGATGGCCCTGTAATTCGGTAGTAAGATCTATCATCGCCCTGCAGCACACACCACGAGAGCGTTTATCAGAACATGGTCACTTCTCTGTGGTTGCATTGATCTGCACTGTGTGCTAGGTTTGGTTTAATTATTAATTCTCAAGTATCCTAGTCTTTCTTGCTGGGAAAGTTACCAGTGGTGGGAGAATA